GAACCTCCCCAGCACCTGGCCTCTCCCCATCTCCATGACGTCTCCCTCCATCATGGTATCTCCCTCACTGCTTCCCCACTATTCCTGCTCCAGCTAGACCATCCCATTCCCTCATGTTCTAATCTCCCATCCCCCACTCTCCATTGACCCCCCCTCCAACCCCCAGTTTACTCATGGAGATCTCATCTATTTCCCCTTCCCAGGGTGATACATGCATCCATCTTAGTGTCCTCCTTGTTAGCTAGCTTCTCTGGAGCTGAGGGTTGTAGTCTAGTTATCCTTTGCTTTACATCTAGTATCCACTTATGAGTGAGTACATACTATGTTTGTCTTTCTGAGTCTGGGTTACCTCACTCAAGGTGATATTTTCTAGTTCCATCCAATTGCCTGCAAATTTCATGATGTCATTGTTTTTTTTTTTTGTTTTTTTTTTTTTTTTTTACTGCTGAGTAAGTACTCCATTGTGTCTATATACCACATTTTCTTCATCCATTCTTTGTTTTGCCTTTTTTTCTTTCTCTCTCTTGGGGAATTGTTAATTCTGGGCATGAGAAAAGAGGCAAGGAATCTGGAATTTGGTCCCTGAGGGGAGAGCTGCTGCTAGGGGAGAGAAAATCCAGATAAAGAACTTTGTAGTGGGAGGGGAGATGGTGGGGTTGTTAGGTATAGGTGGGCAGAACAGTGGGAGTGATGTGCAGCCAAGCACAGAGCCAAACACACCTAAAAATCTAAAACTAAGCAGAACGTCTAACAGTATCCAGAGAGGAGGCTGAGTGGTCTCATCATGCTGAAACATTGCCAGTCATCTTGAGTCACTTCAACCTGATCTGATTAGGTCAATCAGTTACCCCTGTCTCTGTCTCAGGTATATGTATGTGGGGTGAACTCTTTGTGGATGGAGTTAGTATAATGTGAAGCTTCTATAGTATGTGAGCATGCACATGCAAATTTACATAGACATCTATACATGGTTTAGTGTTCTATGACAAAGCTACTGTCTATGCTAAAATCTAGGACAATATTATCAAAATTAAGAGGAAAAAAATAGATGAAAGAAATGCATTTTCATGTGGTATAGATACTGATATTAGCATACAAGGATCTTTCGCAGGTATAATGCCAGCTACTTGGGAAGCTGACATGAGAGGGTCACTCTGAGCCCAGGAGGCCTAGACTAGCTTGGATGATAAAAGGAGACCTTGTCTCAAAAAAGGAAATGAGGGGAAAAAAATAAGGTAAGTTGAAAGATTTCACCCAAGATTTCAAATTTATTAATAGAAGAATTAGATGAAAATTTGGGACTGAAAACCAATTAAGAATTCAACAGATTGGTTTCATAGCAAAATAGGTTATAGGACAGAAAGAGAATAAAGTACTGAAAATACAAGCAATCCATGGGAAACAGCCAAAAGTATTCAATCCAATAAAAAATAAGGGAAGAGTACAAGCAACAGTCAAAGCCATACTGCATTAGTAAAATTTCCTTTAAGCTGAGACGCCTACAGATTTAAGTTATATCTTAAACCCAAACAGGTAAATTAAAAAAAAAATGTATGTGTCAACTTTCTGTCACTGTTACGAAATTTCTGGGGAAAAAGGAGGAAGAGTTATTTGACCCACAGCTTTAGGTTTTCAGTATGTGGTCACTTGTGCTCATTGCTTCTGGGCCTGTGAGGAGAAATAGCTTGGCATGGAGTGCTGCTCACCTTGTAGAACCAGACAGAACATGAGGAAGAAGATGGGCCCAAGGGGACCTTTCAAGGGCATGCCTCTAGTGGCCTATGTCCTAGAGTTAGGCCCCCATCTCCCAAAGCTTCCATAAATTCCCAACAATCCATTAAATTGTGAACCCATCAATAATCCTTTCCCTTCCCAAAGTTCCACCTCTCAACATTGCTGCTTAGGGAACTACGTGTTCATTATGTGAGACTTGGTGGGGGGCATTCTATATCTAAACCATGACTCCTTAGTACATTAAAAACTGTTGTGGCCAAGTGTGATTATAATCCTAGTACCAGGGAGGCTGAGACAAGAGGACTGCAAGGTCAAGATCAGCCTGGGCTATATAGAGAGGTCCTGTCTTGAAAAACAAATAGTCAACCAAATAATCAAACAATAGTAACCAAAGAAAAGTTGTTGAAAACCAAAGGAAATGAGACAAAAATTTCAAGTAGCCCAAATGAGTTAATTCTCTTGAAGGAAACTGCAGGGTGAATTATGGCCAAATTTTACAGGGCTGGAAACTAGGCACTAACAGAATGACATCTTTAAAGGGATAGAGAAAACAAAGTACTAGCTAACCTAGGATTTTATGCTTAGCAAAATTGATCTCTAAGAATAATCTGAAAGAGAGGCTGCAGAGATGGCTTAGCAGTTGCTTTTCCAGAGCACCAGGGTTGGATTCCCAGTACCCACATGGCAGCTCCCAGCATCTGTAACTCTAGTTTCAGGGAATCCGATGTCCTCTTCTTGATGCTGGCTCTGCAGCTGGGGGTGGGGGGCAGACGCAGAATCAACGACACAGGCTCTGGGAGATATGCAAGCAATCTCCTTTATTAAACAAAGGGCTGAGGTATTTATGTGTGTGCTGTTTGGTGGGCTCTGTTTCCAGCTGCCATGGCATGTCTTCCTTTGGCCCTGGATCTTACATCAGTGGTTGTCATCTTGGGGATCTGGTTTCAGGCTCCTCTAGGTCAGGATGCTACTGCGCATGTCAGAGCTCTTTGTTTGCTTAGGCGTGGCCCAGTGCTTTCGGCCATACCTGCCTCACTCTTCTGGCCTCCATGTGCACTGCCCACTTATGGCAGTCAGACATACATGTAGGTAAAACACTCACAGAGACAACATAAAATTAATCTTAAAAATAAAAGAATAATCTGCAATAAAAATATTCTTTTTCAAGAACAAACAGAATTTTTGGTAGTATGCTTTCACTAAATAAACAATTCAAAACCAAAAGAAAAACAAACAAAAATACTAAATATAGTACTCACTTAGGAGAAAAATTAATCCAGATAGACAGCCAGAAGCACATGAACAAATGCACAACATCAGAAGAGGTAGCTGTGTGAATAAAGATACACCAAATTTTGTTTGTAAATCCACCAACTTTGCTGTCTACTGGGTGTCCAGTGATACAGATATTAAATGCACAATGACAGTAGTGCAGAACAGAAGCGAGGGCCGTGTGGCCATGAAGTGTTCTGAAGTCCCCTGCAGTTAGAAACTCAGAGAAATGGTCAAAGTGCAAGCTGGAATCTGGGCCAACTACAGAACTTCAGGCACACAGAGAAAATGAAGTAAGAAGAAGGAAGTATGACTCTTTGAAAACAAGACAAGAATGGAGAAAATGCATAAAATAGGGTGAAATAAGATACAAACAGAAGTGGAAATGATAAACTCTAATTAAAAATAATAACATTAAAGCTAGACTGTGGGGGTGGGGTGAGGTGGGGCAACTTTGATCTCAGTACTCAGGAGGCAGAGGCAGGCAGATCTCTGTGAGTTCAAGGCCATCCTGGTCTACAGAGTGAGTTCCAGGTCAGCCAGGGCTGTTATACAGAGAAACACTGTCTCTTAAAACAAAAAAACCAAATCAAAAGAGAAAACCCTTTCAATGAAAAGCATATGTTTTAACATTAAAACTGAGAAGTTCAGACCACATTAGAAATGGAACTTGAATGAAGAAATTGGCCTGAAATTAAGGACTTCAAGAGATCAAATTGAAAGTGTGGAAAAGACAATCAATGTGAATACTTATCAAAAGAAAGGTATGTTTCAAACAAATGAGACTTGAAGAAGTGTTCAGATGCACTGAGAGACCCTTCAGAAGGGTAAGTGCACCGGGAAGATGCCATAATTTTAGGTTTATAGCCACCTAGGTTTATAGTTTCCAAATGTATAAGGCAAAAAGTACTGGAAGTAAAAGATGGAACAGAAAACTCCATAATCATAGTAGGGCACTTTAGCTCATCATTAGCAGGTGGTGCAGAGGACACAGCAATCAGTAAGGGTATAGAAGGTCTGAATGATAGAATTCCTCAACTTGAGGCGATTTATATTTATAGTACAGTGCTTAGCAATGTCAAAATTCTAAGTTTTTTCAAGTACAAAGGGAACATTTGATGAGATGTCCATATGCTGGGTCATAAAGCAAGCTTCAACCAATTTCAAAGATGCAATCATTCAGAATCTGTTCTTTGAATATGTGGTGGAGCTGATCTTCAAATGAATTAATGTTAAAATTCATGACTTTTACAATGAATGTACTTCTAAGGGAAGTCATATACAGAAGTTATAAAGTGTGTACTGAATGATGAAGTGGGTACATCTCACTAAAACTGTGCTATACACTCACAATACTTAAAGACACACACACACACAGTAGGCAAGATTACATACAGGAAATAATCTTGACTTTCATCAGGAAACCAGGAAAAGAACAGCAATTGGGAAGGAGAAAGGAACTGTAAAGACAGCCTAAGTGATGAAAGAAAAGAAACTCCAAAGTAAACAAGAGCAACAGAGCCAACTTTTGTTCTTTGTAAGGTTAATACAATCAAGAAACCTGTAGCAGGGCTATTTATGAAAAAGAGAATTGTGTATATATATAAAATGTTATACATAAAGAGCAGACATTACTGTAAACCCCGCTTGTACTTAAGACACAAATCCAGGATATTATAGACATTTTACTCAATGAACTTGACAACTCATAAGAAACATAGTGCTGGTTCATATTTTAAAATATTTATTTAGTTATTGATTGATTGTCAATTTGACACAAGCTAGAGAAGAAGGAACCTTAGCTGAGAAAATGTCCCATCAGATTAGACTGTAAAGCAAGCCTGTGGGGCATTTTTTTTTAATTAATAATTGATGCAGAAGAATCCAGCTCACTTGGGTGGTACCATCCCTGGGTACATAATGCTGAGTTCTGTAAGACAGCAGGCTCAGCAAGCAGGTAAGTAGTGTTCCTCTGCTTCAATTTTTGCCTCCAGGTTCCTGTTTTGAGATCCTGCCCTGAATTCACCACATGATGGACTATAAGCTATAAGGTAAAATAAACCCTTTCTTCCCTAAGTTGCTTTTTGGTCATTGTCTTGGCCACTGCTCTATTGCTGTGAAGAGACACCATGAACAAGGCAACACTTAGGAAAGAAAGAATTTAATTGGGAGCATCAGAGGCTTAGTCCCTGATCATCATGGTAGAGAGCATGACACTAGAAGAGTAGCTGAGAGCTCTGTCCTGGTTCACAGGCAGAGAGAAAGAGTGAAGGGAGGGAGGAAGGGAGAGTGAGAGAGAGAGAGAGAGAGAGAGAGAGAGAGAGAGAGAGAGAGAGAGAGAGAAAGAGAGAGAGAGAGAATGAGAGACTGAGACTGGATTGGGCTTTTGAAACTTTAAAACACACCCCCAGTGACACACTTCCTCCAACAAGGCCACACCTGATCTTTCTAATCCTTTCAAATAGGGCCACTCCCTGGTGACTAAGCATTCAAGTATAGGAGCCTATGGAGGCCATTCTTATTCAAACCACCACAGTTTTGGTGTTTTATCCCAATAAGAAACCCGACTAAGACCCATTATTCTTGGAGTAAAAGGGGCAAAGTTAACAGTTGATTTTGTTAATAAGAACCTTTTTATTTAATAAGAAACTGAGTCCACTGTTTAAAACCTGTCTACATAGACAGCTTTAAGACTCCATTGTTAAGTTAGTTCAGACATTTGAGGAGAAATCATACCAGCCTTAAACTGTATAAACTCTCCCACCATAGGAAGGAGGGGGGCACTGCTCAGTCTGTTGCATGGAGCCTGTATAATCCTGCCATTAGAACCTTCAAGAGAGTTATAGGAACAGAAAATTAAAGCTAATTCCCTTCATGAATTTAGAAACAAACCCCCTCAATCCAACAATAAATCACGTTGAGTAACACACACAAAGAATAGTTCACTAGAAGCAAGTGAAATTTCTTGCAAGAATATAGATGAAAAAAAATTCAGACAACCCAATAGAAAATAGATGTGTTTATGGAGGCACTTCATGAAGGGAGGTATCTAACTTGCTGCAAATCTACAGGAAGGCCCTCAATTTCATCTAACTATAGGGAATGCAAATTAAAACCATAATGATAGCTATTATACACCCAGATGAGGCTGTGGAAAAACTGGGTATAAGAGTGAAAGCGGGTTATAACTATCTTCAAGGACCATTTATAAGTTTCTTTTAAGGCTGATTGGGAAATTCCACTTTGGGATTTATATGTAACATAAGTCCATTTATATGTTTACCAAAAATATGCACATATCTGTGTGTGTGTGTGTGTGTGTGTGTGTGTGTGTGTGTGTGTGTGTGTGTGTATACAAGATTGTGCTTCATAGCACACAATTCATGATGACACCAGACTAGAAAGAAACTAGATGTCCATCAAAAGTATCTCTGCTATGTTTTAAAATGGCACAACATATAGCAATAAAAATGAGCATGAATGAATCTCAGGTGCATAATGTTGAACTAGAGTTTTCAACAGGAAGAAGAGTACATAGTACACAAATTCATTCATGCAAATTTCAAAAAAGTATGACTAAGTGTCACAAGGGTTAATGAAAGCCATGTTCCTTCAGAGATAATGACTGGGATGTTGAGGTTGTGGCCCGCTTCTGCTTCTTGATCTGGTGTTGAATATGCTGATGTGTTCACTTTGCACACGAGATTGTGCTGCTCTTTTCCTACTTACTATAGTTTGACACAGGTGCTTTAGAGGACTATAAGGAGCTGCTGGGGAGATGACTCCATTGGTAAAGTGTTTGTGGAACAAATGTGAAGACCTGAGTTTGGTTCCCAGGACCCCTATAAAAGCTGAATTTGGTGATGGGCATGTGTGACTATGTTGGGGACAATGGAAGAGATGAGAGGATCCCTGGAAGCTCACTCATCTATCAGCCTATCTGATTAGGTAAGCTCCATGTTCGATGAGTTATCATGCATGTCTCAGAAAAAAAGGTGGAGAGTAATGGCTGAAAATAGCAGACATTGACCTCTGGCCTCCACACTTACACACACACACACACACACACACACACACACACACACACACACACACACACATGTACATGCTGTAAGGAACCTGCTTGCTAAGTTGTTGTGTAGGAGAATCTGCCAATAAGAATGGGCAATGGAAGAGAGAAGTTCTTCCTACACCAAGACATCCCGTGCAAAGACAGATCAAAGGCTGTGAAAAGCAGAACAAGGCTGGTCCTGATCATTGCTGTGATTTGGAAGGCAAGGTTTGACCAGGTTTCTCTGGGTAAAGTTAAGAGCTCTGCCAAAAGCTGTAGTGAGCAGTGTGTCCCATGGGCAGTTATTGGAGCTGGTTGACCATCAGATAGAGATGTTCCTAGGGGTGGGCAATGGAGACATTTCTCCAAAGCAGCCTGGTTAAGCCCACTAACCATATGGTGGGTAGGAGAAAGGCAGATAACTTTAATTTGGATCTTGACATCAATTAATTGCTCATCTCCATCCAACTTACACCAGACAGGCTGTTTTCCCAAGGAGATGGTGAACCAATTTGCTTGCTCTGTTTGTTTGACTTTCCAAGTTCATTTTTGTTGATTTGTTTTTGTTTTGTTCTAATCTATAGCAGGAAATGCTAAAAAAAAAAAAAGAAGACTCCAAAGAAAAATCTAAATGCTACTGAAAAATAAAATAAAATTTCGTAACATTTAAGACTCTGATGTATGTTCACCATTAACATCTATAAAATTCTAATTATCTTTTTGGTATATGTGATTTAGGGATGTGTGTATAGATATGTATTCACACATACTCTGCCAACAAGGTATTTCTTCTCTATTCCCTTCTTTTGATCAGAGTTCTCAGTGTATCTAAGGTAAAAATTGGAGCGTGCTTGATTTCTTGGTCAATTTGAATGCCGCTTCTACTTAGTAAAGTACCCTGAAAATCATCATTAACTTCATGTGGAAACAAAGAATGACATGCATAAACTTCTTTTCTCATAGCACATAAATATAAGCTTATCTGAGTCCAGTACTGATGGCTATATGTTGTTAATATATACTTATGTGACCCGAATGCTACATTAGAAGAATCAGTTTAGAAATATAACCATCAATCAAAGGCAATCCCATTCAAGACAGTTTATGGTTTTAGCTCTCAGCCAGTCGTATATGCTCAGTTACATTAGTGTTCTCAAAAATCTCTTTCATTATAGTGGCAAAGAAAACAGTGCAGTTTAGCAAGATATATACCAACTTATCACATGGACATCTTGCATAGGTAGGACAATAATAAATCAAGCTCGAAGCACAAAATCTAAAAACTTTCCAGAATGACTGTCTGTGAGAACGGAACAGCATTCCCGGTGCACTAAGGGCTGCATGGGTGCCTGGTTAAGCATTCTCACAGCCTCAGCAAGGAAACATCTCCATTCACACTCTATGCTAAGACAATGAGCGGGGGTGGGGGGGTGGGGTGGTGGTGGTGGGGGGTGGTGGTGGTGGTGGTGGTGGTGGTGGTGGTGGTGGTGGTGGACCCAGGCCTCTGCTCTCCTTGTGTGGGACCCGGAGTGGTACATAGTGAAGGAAGACTGGAGGGACCCCCTCGGCCAAGACTCTCAGTGTCTTCTACATTTGTGCACCCTCTTCTGGGGTGCGTGGGCTTGTTTGAGGACAGTTTGGATTTGTTCCCAAAGCTCCAGATGTACGTCTGGGAACCTGAATTGTTTGCTCCTCACCGTGTTTCTATCAGTATAACCTCTCCGAAGCCTGAGATGTGTTTCCTCAGAGGCCGTCCACTCAATCCCATCTTCAGATGAGGATGTTAAAGCTCAGAACAGAAATGATGTTTGGAATGTCACCCAGCTACTGAATACCATTGAGTGACTAAGACCCAAATCTTATCACTTGAGGCCAACCTCACTTTCACCCCACCTGCTGCTTCTGATTGAACTTGTTTTTGTTCAGTGAGTATGCTCAGCTAAGAAGCAATGCCATATACTAAGGCATATGATTTCACATACCCATAAATTTCTCTGAACTCATATTTTGACTTTAAAAACATAATAAGAGGGGAAGTACAACAGATACAAAAGAAATCAGATCAGTTCTTTCTGTTCTTCATGAAGTAGTAAGGCTAAAATGATCCAGATGTATCCCTCCTGGGAATTTACCCAAAGGACTTCATATCCTACCACAAGGATCTTTGCACATCAGTGTTTATGGCTGCTCCCACAACAGCAGTGAAATGTAACCAGCTTACATGCCCATCAGTAGATGAACAGATAATTAAAATGTGACCATATAATGGAATTTCATTCTGCTTGAGAGAAGTGAAATTTTTAGAAATAAATCTGTACATTACTACATTAAGCAAGATAATCAAGACTCAGAAAGACAAATACTGAGTGTTCTCTCACATGTGTGGACCATAGCTTGTGTTTTGTTGCATACATATGTATGTGATATGCATGCATGCATGTGTGTGCTTGTTCACATGTGTGCCTATGCACATGGAAGCTAGGGGTTTATGTCAGGTGTCTTCCTCAATTGTTCCTTGTTGTGGAATATTTGAACACTGTGTGAAGATGTTGCTGTGGTTGGTGTAATAAAAGGCTGAATGGACAATAATAGCTAGGCAGGACTTGCAGGCAGAGAGAGAAAAACTGGGAGGAGTAATCTAGGCACAGGATTTTGCCAGCAGACTTGGAGTAAGTAGGATGTTCCATACTAAGAATAGGTAACCGAGACACATGGCAGAACATAGATTTTAAAATTATGGGTTAATTAAGTTAAATATAGATTTATTAATTGTGGGTTAATATAAGAGCTAGTTGGGGAAAAGCCTAAGCTAAGGCCAAGCTTCCATAATTAATAATGAATCACTGGGTCATTATTTTTGGGCTGGGAGTCCAAAGATAGTCTGACAAGAAAGATTGCTATAGCTCATTATCTTATATTTTGAGGCAGAGTCTCTCACTTGAGTATGGAGCTGGACCATTAGGCCAGTGTAGCCAGCCAGCTTGTTCCAGGGATTTCCTTCAAGCATGCTGGGAATACAGGTGGGCCACCATGCCTGTGCACCATTCAGACTGATAACAAGGATATGAACTTCAGTCTTTATGCTTACATGGGAGGTGCTTTACCCACTGAACAATCTCCCAATAACCTATCTTGTAGCCTTGTGAGAGAGAGTGAGAGAGAGAGAGAGAGAGAGAGAGAGAGAGAGAGAGAGAGAGAGAGAGAGTTTGGTGAAACTAGGAAGGGGGCCACAGAGAGAAATAAAAGTTTTTGTGAGAGAATGGAGGAGGGTGGGCAGGGTAATGAGGGAGAAGAGTGAGGAGAAAGATCAATACAAGCGAGTTATTTTTGAAAACACTATTATGAAACCTAACACCATTCACTCTAACTTTAATAATATTGAGATAGAAAGTAGTAAGGCCAGAAAACCAAGACATTATCCTTTTTAATCCTTTCACCACACTTAGAAGAGTGGTTGAGATGCAAATATTTTCTACACACCAAAAAGAGATTAAAAACAGTTTATCAGCCCAGTAACCAGCTTTGTGTATAAGCCAGCAACCCTATCCTAGCCTTCTGCTCCTGGCTTCTTTCTGTTGATGTGATAAAACACTTTGGTCAAAGGCTCCTCGCTGGAGGAAAGGGTTTATTTGGCTTACACCTCCCAGTCACACTCCATCATCGAGGGAAATTGGGTCAGAAACCATATAAGGACACTGCTTCCTGGCTTTCTCTGTGACTTTCTCACCCACAGACTCACGCTTAGCTGGCTTTCTTATACAGCCCAAGCCACCTATCTAGGCATGTGCAACCCACAGTGGGTTGGGCCCCACACATCTATTAATAATCAAGACCCTCACTCACAGGCCAATGTGATTTAGCCAATTGGTTTTCCTCTTAGTGTAGTCAGAAGTTTTTCTGTGTCCTGCCTAGTCCCATGGTCTCACAACTGCTTATAAAATAATCACTCTGAGACTTAATATGAATTGTAAATTATATGGCCTAATGGCTCAGGGTTCTCACTAACTAGCTCTTACATCTTAACTCAGCCCATTTCTATTAATCTGTGCATTGCCACATGGCTTTGTGGCTTACTGGTACTTTCACATCTTGCTTCTCCTGGCAATGGCTAGCCTCATCTGCCCCACTCTTGGTTTTGATAACTGTTGACATGAGACATGATTGCTCCTGGGGGCACCAATTACTTCAGGGAGGATGATAGTCATCAAAGAAACTCATTATGGAGTTTGCTTTCTTTGTGGCAAAAGTTAGCCACTGGGCAAAAAAAAAGTGTTCTTGCCTCAACTGCTTGACAGGATGCTATATAAACTGAACATGCAGGACCCACAGGAAGGTGACCACTGAACTTTGCAAGGCAAGATGGTCCTTCAGGTTCCTGCTTTGCAAAAGAAACTGACAGTCATTCTACAGGATGTGAGGAGAAGCTACTGATGAACTTAGCTAGAAAGGGCGGAATAGTCCTTAAAATTTTCTGCTTCACTGAAAGCTATGCCAGAGACTATAGGCCTGTGGACTGAAGATGGATGCCTCAATGTTGCAGAGGAACTTTGGATGACTGTCCAGACAGCCAGATGTTTCTGTCATTTTTAGAATTATGGAAGTTGCTTACAATGTGTTTCTTGTTTACTCAGGTAATATTGTATACTTCTGGGGTCTTTGATGTAGTTGAAGACTAGTTAGTTATAATTTTCCTTGGTTATGATAAAAATAAATTAGATATGAAACTTTAGACTCACAAATATAGACTAGATGATAGAATATTTCCTTTAATTTTGCCAAATACAAATAGACTGGATATTGTAACTGTGATTCTTGCTTGATAGCTGTTTTATTATATGTAGTTTTGCTGTGTTAAAGTTAAAACCTTTCTTTTTGATTGGACAGAAAGGGGGAAGTGCTGTAGGATGTCTTTCTGTATGCTGTGAATATGTGTTGTTCCCACTGGCTAGTAAATCAGGCTGCATTGGCCTTCTGACAGGGCAGGATGGATCCAGGCAGGACAATCCAAGAGAGATAGGGAGAGAAGAAAGGAAAATGGGGGGAGATACCAAGGAGCAACAAGACGCCAGCAGACCAGTAACGCCACAGCCATGTGGCAACATATAGATTAATAGAAATGGGTTGAGTTAAGTTATAAGAGCTAGCTAACAAGAAGCCTGACCCATAGACCATACAGTTTGTAAATAATATAATCCTCTGTGTGTCTACTTGGGAGTAACCAGCTGTGGGACGTGGGTGGGAGAGATTCATCCTGACCGCAGGACTGGAGAAACTTCCAGATACATCTTAGATGGCTGTAGATTGTGTCAAGTTGATAACTAAAAACCAACCAGGACACCTTTCTTTATAAAATTTTGTATTTGTACATGATGAACTTTTTTTTTAACCTGAAGCCCCATTGGCTCAAGAGTTTAAATGTTGAGACAGTTAAAATAATGGTTGACTATAGTAGAATATTATTTTAAGGCGTGTTACTTTTGTTTATGTTGCATTTGTTTAACTCTGTGAAGCTGGGTTACTGTGCCTGTCTAAAACACCTGATGCTCTCTAATAAAGAACTGAACGGCCAATAGCAAGGCAGGAGAAAGGAAAGGCGAGGCTGGCAGGCAGAGAGAATGTATAGAGGTAGAAATCTGGGAGAGAGAAGAAAAAAGGGCTAGCAGTCAGAGAAGGAGGAGGACTTCAGGGGCCAGCCAACCAGCTACCCAGCAAGCCACAGAGTAAGAGTAAGATTTAGAAACAAGAGAACAGGAAAAGCTCAGAGGCAAAAGGTAAATGGGATAATTTAAGTTAAGAAAAGCTGGCAAGAAACTAAGCCAAGCTAAGGTCGTGCATTCATAATTAAGAATAAGCCTCCATATGTGATTTATTTGGGACCTGGGTGGCTGGCCCCCCGAAAAAGAGCAAAACCAAACAACAACAGTTGACTTCCATAAATTCAAGAGCCACCAGTTGACCAGGTAAGCGATGGAGGGTAGGCATAGTAGATGCTGCATAGAGGTCCAAGACCACCACCCAGTATATAGTCTGTAATTTTATTCTTCTCACTGTGCTCTCATTCAAGTCAATGTGTAGGAACAGGGCCAACAAGGGCAAAACACGAAGTTTCTTTGCATTTGAAAATCTCCTCCGTGGAAGCACTAATAGCAATAATATAAACTCTACTCTTGTTGAGTGCGTATAGATCAAATAATATGCAAAGACAAACACCCCTCAGCTTCTCATAGCCCCTCGTGTCCTGCCTCCTCCTCTGCTTCCTGCACCTGGTCATCCCTCCCTCTGTGTTATGAGGGAACGTCAGCAGGTCTAACCTTCTGAGGGTCGCCTCAGCTGTTCTGATTTCAACACAGGAACTGTCATGACCAGAGGACAGTGTTCTGTAACAGACACCTAGGCCTGACTGTCCCTGTCCCCTAACTTCCTACTCATGCTTAGTATACACTGCATCCAGCTATCAGGGCTCTAAACTCCCACACTCTTGCCAGGGTTTATATTTGGGGGTACCACCTCTAACTGAGGACTATACTTCTCAGATTTTAAACGGTGGTGCAGGAATCCTCTGAAAGGGGTTCGGGGAAGGGGGAGAGATGTTAAAATGCAGTGGGTCTGAAGTACAGCCTTACTGATGTGTAGCCAAGGATGAATTCCCCAGCCTCCTCCTCTTGCCTGCAGGGATGTGAGCCACCATACCCAGTTTATAGAGTACTGGGGATCAAACCCAGAGCTTTGTATATGCTGGGCAAGCATGCTACCATCTGAGCTACATTCCCAGCCCAGGAATCTGCTCTTCTCACCAGCTATCAGGGAGTGTGGAGTCTCTTGGAGCCAGCAAGCCTCTGGAGTCTCTCAGCAGAGCCCATCTTTCCCTCCCAACTGCCTCCCTGCCCTATTTTCTCTTCCTCTAGTCTTGCTTGCTTTCTGATACTGTAATAACTGAAAACCTCAGGAAGTGGTGATTTTCCCAGGTAAGAAATTTGCATTTTAACCATGGTTTCCTCTCCCTGTAAGTTTGTTTCTCGGTTGCTTCCATAGCAGCTGTAGAAAGGACAATATTCACGAGAGAGGAGGGATATACAGTGAAGTTGGGATGGGAAGAGAGCTTTTTTTGGTACTGAAAAGTCACATTTTACCATGACCATTTATGCCAGTAGTTCTCAACTTGTGGGTCATGACCCTTGCAGGGGTCCGATATCACATATTCTGCATCTCAGATATTTACATTATGATTCATAACAGTAGCAAAATTACAGTTACGAAGTAGCAATGAAATAATCTTATGGTTGGGGGTCACCACAACATGAGGAACTATATTAAAGGGTTGCAGCATTAGGAAGGTTGAGAACCACTAATTTATGGTATAGGTCTATGTACTGAGCACATATAATAATTTACCACAACTTCAAGTTCCTAAAACTGGCTAATGAATTCTTTTCTTTTATGAGCCTGTCTTTCATCCTAAAAGTAGGTTATGAATGCCAGCACAGTATTTCCTGTAGAAAATGTTGATTAGCTTTGTGTGTAATTGAGCTGTTAATAGGCAGTCCTGTAGCTTTGGGAAATAAAACAAATATTGACAAAGCCCAGTGAAATGGCCTGGTGATTATCATATCCTTTCTCCCACAGACCAACTGGGGCCCTCCCATGGCAACCCTCAGGCACTTTGCCCTTGGGGAAGAGATCCAATAATCCAAATAATCAGCTCTTGCTTTCCAAGTTTAGAAAAAGTTCTCAGGAAAAAAAAATCCATTTTGTTAATCAGAAGTATAAATAGCCTTCCCCACAATATTACTCATGTGCTACAATGTTTTTGCATATGAAGATGTTGAGTCATAAGGTTTAAGTACATGGATAACATCCTAAATATTTGCTATCTAAGGGAGAAAGTGTCAATCTTGCAGAAATTCTCAGCTATATTGATCATCATTTAGAAGAAGAATATCTTGCAGCTGTCTGTATCACCCGCACCAGCCACCATCAGACCATCCATCCCTCTGTAAGGTAGGTGTGCTCCTTGGATTTATGAACTATGTGAGCCAATGTAGCAGTGCATGATGGGAAATAATGTTGTGTGTTAGTGCAAATGAGTTCATCATTAAATGTTAGGCTTCAGAAAAAGTGACATTAGAAGTCGTTTGTTTCTGTTAGTGACAATGATGCTATCAAGCTATACCCCTTAGCTGCCTCTGCTCTGAGCTGCAGCCACCACCTCCATTGGGCCACTTTCATAGACAGGTACAAAGGGCAAGGAAACAAGGGCAGTAACTCAAGCAGAAACCACAGAGGAATGCTGATTCCTAGCTCAATCCCCGGCTCATGGTCCACTTGCTTTCTTATACAGTCCATTCCCACCTGCCTAAGGCTGGTGCCACCCATGGTGGGCCGAGACCTGACTTCCCTCAATGATGGATTGGGAGCTGGAAGTGTAAACCAAATATGTCCTCTCTTCTTCAGGGTGGTTTTGATCTTGGCATTTATCACAGCAACAGAAATCAAGCTAGGGCAATCCTCAGCAGCATGCTGGAGTTTGGGCTTCAGTGGTGGGCCTACCCTTACTCTCCAGATGGTTTCCTCTGTCTTGCTTTCCATTGTTTGCCCTTGTTTATCCTGCAGCCCAGTGTGGTCTAGGTCTCAAGAAGGGAGTCTTGGAAATGGTAGCTGGGCTTCTCTGTTGCAGAGTAAGCTATGCTTTTGCACTCTTCTTAGGTTGTGGGAGCATAGCTGTGGTCAGCTGCACTTGGAAGCAGGCTCCAGCTACTGGAAGCCAGAGGAATTTGCTCTGCCAGTGCTGGCCAGGCGGACTGACCTTCTTCCTTCCTGTGCCAAATTCCCGGTGTCATTTGTAACAAAGTCTCAGGTTTGGAGCCAATGGTGGTTTTCAGAGCTTTTAGTTTTATGAATAGACAGATATTTGAGGAAGTTTGAATTTGGCCTGTAAGCTATAATATCTTCAGTCATATGAAGGGGATAGAATTTAAAAGCAGACTATTAACAGAGAGAGTCGTTTATGTATTTGAAAATGAAACTATATATTAAGGTCTTTCCTTTATAAGGTAAACTGTTTCTCTATTAGATGCATTAACTGAAATTGAGCCCAGAATCTCAGACTGGAGCATGATGGAAAGGAATATATATATTTATGAATAAAATGTTAACTATGAAACGATGCAATACTATTTTGGCAGCTTACGAGAGTCACTTGTAAAACAAATTAAAATGTACTTTTACCTTACCTGTTCTACTTTTTCTTAATTAACACCAAAAGTTGCTTTTAAAAAGTAGATCATGGAGTCTGAAGAGATGGCACAGCTGTGAAGAGCATGTGCTGCTCTTCCAGAAGACCTGGGTTTGATTTCCAGCACCCCGTGGTGGCTCACAACTAACTGTAGCCCCAGGCCCAGGGGATTCAATGTCACCTTCTGGTCTTCACGGGCACCTGGCACACACATAGTACACAGGCATATGTGCAGACAAAATACCAATAGACATAAAACTAAATTAAAAGACAAACAAATAATATTTAAAAGACCGATACTCGTCACAGAGATAATGTTTGACTTTCTGCAGTCACATGGAAGTCTCTCTAACAGGCCCAAGCATTGGAAACATGGTGCTGGCCGGTCTTGCCCACCCCTGTCCTCTCCCTTGCTCAAATGTTAGATTGCATTCCTAAAGCTAGCCCTAAGGTCTCTTTTCTTATTTGGTCACTTCCTTATGTTTGACTAAAATGCCAAGGTCCAGCTATCAAAATTCATATTTTGGCTACACTGGCTAACAGGCCCAGTCAGGACTTACCAACCCATCCTAACATACACTCCCCCTTTTTCTCATTAAAACTCTACTCCTTTGCCCTGAGATGTTGGTGTCTGGGTGTGTCACGTACCAATTCTGAGGCCCCCTTACACATATTATTGCAATTTTGTTTGAATGTATGACAGTCAACATTTGGGGAAAAAATAGTAGACTGTGGAATTAGAAATTCCTTAAGCTTTTTAACCCTAAAACCATAGTAGTTCCAGACTTTAAAAGCTGAGATAGTCAAAACAATGGCTGCTCCCTTTGGCTTTCTTCCTCTTCATCATCTTGTTTTTCACAGTGTATTTTTATGTGTTTGTGAAATTTATAAGCAAAATGCATTTCATTTCCACCTGTATAACAACAAATAAACACATATGTAAACAATGAATAATGTATTTGCTGTGGAAAAATCATGCTAGTCACCCGCCATTAAGTTTAGAAAGAGTAAGATCTAAGTCCTCAAGCATGAGGCAGTGTTGTAGAAGACACCATGTGGCAGAAGCTGTGAAGATCCATAGTGGTTCTGGCTCCCTGGGTTTGTGTTTATACTGCTAAAGACTGAGGGTTTGTAAAGACTCCACAGTTGGGAAAAGCCGGAAGACCGCCAGGCAGCTCTGGACATCCTGTGCTTTAGTCAACCCAAGTGTATATTCCTCTACCTGAAACCTGTCACTCCTTAGGTCATTGCTACCTTTGTGTGAATTTCTCGTTGCTTTTATACACTAGTGCTTGAAACATGAAATTTGTGTGAGATGTTTGATTTGGACCTGTTCACACTGGTAGAGGATGTTTCTCAGAAGGGCAGCATGTTCAAAGTTGTGCTTTCAGGAGACTAAAAAGCTCAGCAGATTGGAAGGAAGTGGAGGCTTCTAACTGGGGAAATCAGTTAGAAAGCTGCTGCATTAGTTTAGATAAACTTGGAGGTTTGGGCAGTGTGAATTACAGCTGTGACCTGGATAATCGAGAGGAAACAGATGCTTAGCATTGTCAAACCTTATGTATCTTAAATATATCTGAAGTTCCTCTCCATGTCACCTGAATTTGATCTTCAAGCCCAGCTCTGCTTGAATGTATAGGGCCACTCCCGTCAGAGATCGGGAATACTCACCCATCTACCCATGACCTGGTGGACACATCTCAGTCCCATGTTGACCTGCAGCATTTAGGATCATCTCGAAGTTCTTTGTCAGCCCACACTCATACTTAGGACCTTTGCCATACTTCCAAAACACCTCTTCCCCATTGCTGGGCTGACTCACATTTCTAGAATCTGATTGCAGTGTCCCTTCAGTGTAGCCTCATGTCACATGTCCATGCCTTCTCCTCTAGGCACTTCTGAATCTGACTTAAACTTGCATTTAGCACTTACAGAGAACCACTTACATCTAAACTTTTCTCCAAGCCCCACTGTGATGACTCATGGTAGGTAGCTGGAAATACAGATTGGGTGCTGAAATTCTAAGAATCAAAGCGTTAGCTTTAGTCTTCGGCCCGATTTTCCTGGTGCACACTGCAGTTCCCATCACTACTCTGTCTTCATCCCTGCTCCAGAGTTCCTCTTGTGCTAACTGCTCAGTAACACAATCTCCTGAGACGGGTTGTCTTGTAGCTCCTCCCCACAACCACTGATGGGCCATTTGCTGATCTCTATGCCAGTGCCAACCTTGTCACTAGTCAATTAAATCAACCATGAAAACTTTGACCAACCATGTGACTGCTTCCAAGGTTTACTTGCTGGAAAACAAGAGACACCAAATTCATCAGACACCTGAAGACACAACTCCTACTCATCTCCTGCCCATCCCTACAGAGTGCTGGGTTGATACCTGGATAACTCTGTAGCCCTGACCTCATACTTGTTACTAGGCCAACGTTCAGTCACCAGGAACTAGACCTCCATTAGCTCTAACTTCTCTCTCTACAGACATGAGTGATGCTGTCTCTGCTCACCTGCCTGTCTAGTGTAGGATTAGTGATGTCTTGTAGAGTTTCCATATACAACAGACACACTGTACTGATTTGGGAGCTGCTTGAAAATGGGGAAAAGGTGGACAAATAGGAGGCAGGATTTGGATTCTAATGGGCTAAGTGGAAGATTTAGAACACAGAGGAGTCGTAGAAGAATGAAAGTACAGAAGGAATGTTTTAGGAAGGAAAATAAGTTCAGCTGTTAAGAATTGATAGTGAGGGGCCAAAGTTACAGGTCAGTGATCAAGAACATGGGCGGAGCTTCCAGAGGGTCCAGCTTGAGTCCTAGCACCCACACAGCAGCTCATAACCACCTGTAACTCCAGTTCCAGGGGAATCAATGGCCTCTTCTGGCCTCCAAGGGCACCAGGCATACACAAAGGGCATAGCCATACATGCATGGATACATACACACACCCATACACATATAATAATAAAATAATAATTAAAAAAAAAGGAATTGATATGAGTATAGTTTTAGATGTACCCACAGGCAATATTAAAATATTGAGTGAGGCATGGCATAGCATCAATGAAGGAGCAGAGAGACCAGCCGCTGGCTGTATGGGCATTTACCTGTCAGCTCAGGATTTATCACGTGAAGTCCAGGAAGCTGGTCCAAAAATGAATGGAAGTTCACAGGGGTCTGTGGCCTGAGCTAGAATCAATAAACTATCATAAACCCCTGTTGTGGGGGTATTTGTACACTGTGCGAAGGTGTATTGCTGTGATTGGTGTAATCATAAGCTGAACAGCCAATAGCTAGGCAGAAGGTATAGGTGGGATTTCCGGGGAGAGAAAGGAAGAGGAGGAGAAATCTAGGCGTGCAGAAGACACCAGGAGACATGGAGAGGAAACAGGAGGTGCAAGATGGAAGAGAGGTAACACCCCATGATAGAACACAGATGAATATAAATGGGCTAATTTAAGTTATAAGAGCTAATTAGGAGTAAACAAGCCTAAGCTATAGGCTATAATTAATAATAAGTCTCTGTGTCATTATTTGGGAGCTGGCTGGCTAGACAGGAAAGGACTCATTACAAATCACAATAAGCCATCATCTGAATTTTAGCCTCCTGTCTTCTTGCTCCCTCCTCCAAGATTCAGAAGAATCCATTGTAAGGCAGGGCAAAACCCTCCATGTTGGTCCAAGACACACCCATATACCAAATTCTCAGCACAAGGGAGATTTATTACCCCAGGAGCAAGTGTGGGTGTGTGTGGAGTGGCTGCACAGGCAGGCATTAAGCATCAAGAGCAGCAGCAAGCAAGCAAGCCAGCAAGCCAGCAGGTGTTTTCACAGGAGTGGGTTTTTAAGGAGAAAAATGGGGAGTCTGTGCTAGGGTGAGTTGGTAAATCCTGATTGGACATGTTAGCCAAATAATGAATATTGATTGTTGGACATCAGTGTTTTGTCTAAGGAATGAGTCAGTGGCCAAATAAGGGAATAGACCTTGGGGACTAGCTTTAAGAATGTAATGTAACGGTTTTTAGGAAGGGAAAGGAGAAGGGTAAAAGGGCAAAACCTATCAGTGCCATGTTTACCATGCTCAGGCCTGCCAGAGCCCTTCATTCATATGCAGTGGGGCGCTTAAATTCTCTCACTCCCTGTGAAGCCTCAGTTTGGTTCCCAGGTCCTTCTAGACCCTGGTTAAATCACTCCCTCTTCCTCACTGTTGTACCATTTCTCATGGATCTGTAAGAGCAAGGCCAGCTCTACTCCTTGGGCTTGGAAACCGCAGCCTCTCAGACCTCTTTTATCCTTACAAATAAGAGGACTGACTGCTATGGATTTATGCAAATTCAGTTTTTAACCTGCCAGCCAAAGAATAGGGCATAGAGATTAATTCTTAAGATGTTTTTAAGCTTTTGAATTTTGAGTTCCAGGGAGAATGTTTTTTTATTTTTCTTTTTGGCAGATTGGATACAGACATAAAGATGGAAAATTAATTGTTAGCCTTGGGCATTGAGGGGAGGTGAGGGGTTTTATTCACCATGGTTAGAAAGGACAAACTTATTGCCTAAGGATTTAACTCTATATTAGGAATTTCTAATTCAAATTGAAAACACAAATGTCAAATAACCAAATTGGTTGCTGTGTGGGGAGGGGTGGTGGTCACTCATTGGACAGGCAGACCATTAGCATAGCTAATGAGAAAATCTCTAGCAGGGGAGACAGGAATGCTAGATTCTAGTCTCACTTCTGCAAATATCATGCTGGGGACTCAGAATAGGAGACTTTGATTTTCCCAGATTGCTTCAGTTCTAGCTTTGATCAAGGAGAAATGCAAATTAGCTTCGCCTTTTACCTGACAGGTGTGTGGGAGGTTCGCGTGGCTAGAACGCACTCACTTGGGCATCCAGCAGCACTTCCGGCTGCTCTGGGCTTTTGTCCTTTTGTTCCAGCTGGTTTAATGGGGACAAGAGGCATAGAGAACAGGGCTGTTTATCATTCAAGGCAGTCCCCTGCCTGCTCAGGGAAGACAGACTGCCACCTCCGAATCACAGGGTCTTGACTCTGCCTGAGATTTGCCAACTGATGACATGAACGCCCACTCAGACGTCTGGGCGATGTCTGGCTCTTCACCATTCCTGCTGATTCCTCTCCACTCCAGCTCCCTGGCAACTGGCCTTGCTCCAATCCCAGGAGGAAGTCTCCTGGCGTTGAACCCATTTTGGCAGAACCAGCTACTCATTCTGTGTGTTCTAGACACTCTGTTGACTACCATCTCTCTCATAAGTGAGTGACAAGGAGTCAGGGACTCATCAGTTCTTAGCAATCTTCGTAAGAATGAAGAAAGCATATTATCTGGCCACAAGCTGGACAAAAGAAGGAAGAGTATCTGGCTAACTAGTTTATTTACAGAGGTAAGGGTAATAGGTTTCTCAGTGTTTTGATGTATACCCCTTACAGTTAAGGTTAATGTCATGAAAACAGCTGTCTATTCTCTGCCTTTAACCATGTCTGTTTTTTTTTCCTACCCAGAAATATAAATATGTGCTTCACCCCATCACCTTCTCAAGCTGTGGCATCAACCTTTCCCTTACAAAATTCCTTATCGGGTAAAATACTCTGGAATGAATTTCTCTGTGTGTTTTTTTTTTTTTTTTTAGCAGCTCCGTGTCATTTTCTCAGTTATTAGCCCATTAATTCCAGGGCCTTTGATGCTGTTGAGTATCCTTTTTCCTTAAAGAAAGGCTCTGTGTACATACCACAGAATCCTCCTTAACTCTTCAGCACTCTGTCCTTTGATGATTCCCCTTTTATTCTGTTGACTATTAACCTATGGCTTCCTTCTGGGTCCTGTATCCATTCATTCCCCAATTAATGCCCGAGTCATAATTGTGGTGATTCTGTGTGAGTATTTCAACTCACATGCATTAGTCAGAGTTCTCTAATGGATCAAAACTCATAGAGGGTATATATGAGTATATATATTATATGATGTGATATCATTATACATATGGGATTTATTATAGTGGCTTATCGACTGTGGTCCTAGTCCAACAATTTACCTGCAAACAGAAAGGCCAAGAATCTGTTAGTTGTTCAGTCCTTCAGCCTAGATGCTTCAACAGTCTCAATCTGGTGCTGGAGTCCCAAAGGATTCCTAAAGAGCTGCTGGTCTTTAGACTATATTGGAATCCCAGAGAAGTGGGTTCTAATGCCTTAGTGTTAGGATAACTGAACTCACCTGTGAGAGTAAGGTCAAGCACACAAAAAGCAAAAGGCTACCTTCTTCCATGTCCTTTTATGTGGAATGCCATCAGGAGGTGTAGCCCAGACTTAGGATGGGTCTCTCTAGCTCAAACGATCCAATCAAGAAAATCCCTGATAGGAATACCAAGCTAGTTGGGTTTTAGTTGATTCCAGATGTAGTCAAATTGATAACCAAGATTAGCCATCACATCACATAAAACCTATCGTTTATGCATACACCACTATTCCTCTTGGATATCCAGTCTCTCTGTAGTTTTACATTCCATGGAACAGATCGATTGTCTTTAAATCTTGGATCTAGTCATTTATTTGTTGTGGAATTAGGGACAAGTCACTATATAATGCCTCAGTTTCCTCAACTGGAAAGTGCATGGTGGTGTTGATAATAAAGTCTGCTTCAGTGGTTTTAATGGGTAGTGCTGGTGTGGAAAGGACTTAACATATCCAGTCACCATAGCATACAGTGCAGAGGCTCTGCCCGGGTACCATAGCACACAGTGCAGAGGCTCTGCCCGGGTACCATAGCACACAGTGCAGAGGCTCTGCCCGGGTACCATAGCACACAGTGCAGAGGCTCTGCCCGGGTACCATAGCACACAGTGCAGAGGCTCTGCCCGGGTACCATAGCACACAGTGCAGAGGCTCTGCCCGGGTACCATAGCACACAGTGCAGAGGCTCTGCCCGGGTACCATAGCACACAGTGCAGAGGCTCTGCCCGGGTACCATAGCACACAGTGCAGAGGCACTGTTATTAGTAGTATTTTGCCTTCTTTTCTGTTTTATATGTGGTAATTCATCAAGTTATTTCCATTCCTCTTTTATCATCTTTCTATTTCTATGTTTCATGTCTAATATCATTCAGTCAATGCCTGAAAGTTTTGAGAGCAGAATGTCAGAGCCTCCTTGCTGGTGAGGCTCAGGGAATATCAAGGAAGAGAGGGAGAAAAGATTGGAAGAGCCAGAGGTCCAGTGTGGGATGACTGCTTCAAGACAGTGTCTTCTGTTTATGACAAGGGAGTTGCCCCCAGAACATCTCATCAGTAGCCCTGAGTATTGTTTATTAAGCACCTTCTCCATTCAGAAAGTGTTCCTACTATCAATGAATCAGACTCCAATTCTGCAACTAGATCCAAGACTCTGGGTTAACTATTCCTGTTGTGCTGATCCACCTCTGCTCAGTGAATGAACTTTAACTCTGGTTAAGTCAATCAACTCTTTGTCCCTGAGTCTCATTCCCAGTACCACAGAGTGGTTTTTAGATGGTACACCCATCCTGGGAAGGGAGGAGTGGCAGTGACAGTAGCATAGCTGTGGGCCATCCTTGATATGTCTAGCAAACAGATCATATGTTGATTGATTCTGAAAGAAAAGAATTCCTTTCAAAGTCCTTGATATGTCTAGCAAACAGATCATATGTTGATTGATTCTGAAAGAAAAGAATTCCTTTCAAAGTCTTGGTTCTTCTTACTCAAAGTTCTAGAAGTAAAAAGTAAAAAGTAAATTAAAATTAAATAAAAAGCTGACCTATAGGGGATGTAGCTCTGTGGTGGGATGCTTGATCAACCTACATAAACTCCTAGGTAGTGCCATCCTTCTGCAAAGCATAAAACGTAGAAAAGCCTCAGTGGTATCACCAGCTCCTTAGAAAGGCTAAGGAAGTGGACTTGCTAAGAAAGATATTGCTCAGCTGGTGGATGAAGCATCTGCAGTGTGGCAGGCATGCCACAATAAGGTACGACACAGTAATGCTGTTGGCCTTCTGTTTTCTTTTGCTTGCTGTCCATTCTTTTCTGAATCAAAATGGAGGATTGTACAGCATACTGTGCCCATGTCCTCTTTAGAAAGAGGGAAAGGTTCCAGATTATATCTGCTTCAAGATCGTGTCTTCTTTACATGACAGGTAGACTGCACAATGACACCAGCTGATGGGGCAATAGGATGGGGGATTCTCACAAGGTTTCACCTCTTGAAAAAGATCTGCAGGCAATTCATGATTGCTGAGAGGAGGGGAATCAGTCTTCTCCATGGATGAGCTCCTGGAAGGCCAGCTTATTCCAAGAGGTCAGTCCTAAACACATATGAACGATACTAAATTATCTTAGCAGTTTGTGTTTATAAACACATTATATATTATATATATTATAATTATAAATTATAAACACATTATATATATATGTGTGTGTGTGTATACACATTCATATATGGATATTTATATGGCAATTAAAATTAAAGAACAAGAGGTCATGAATTTGAGAAAAAATGGGAGGGACATGAGAGGAGATGAAGGAAGGAAAGAGATGGGGAAATTGTATAAATACTTATATATGGAATTCTCAGAAATAAAACTCACATCCTGTTTTTTGCATAAACACTCAGAGTTCCTATTACTACATTCATATTAATACTAATCACCGTATATAATGTGGTGTATTAGAATTACAACTTCTTTGTTATACAACTGTTAGTTTAATAGTTAATAATTGTCTCATTTCAAAAAATTTTGGTGTTCCAGCTTTTAATTAAAAAACAAACAAACAAACAAAAACAAATTACAAAATGCTTCTCAGGGTGGATGTGCACATTAAACAAACTCTCAGTTTGACCCTGACCACACCTCCATTCCCAGAAGCTCTCTTGGCCTCTGCTCTTATCTGCCCATCTGGGCTGGCAGCTGAGTTTCCTGAGCAGTTATTATCATGGGAAAATCCTCTTTCTTTCCCTTAAGTTGGGTCCCGTGTTTTCCTCTTTCTTGGTTTACTCATTTATTTTTGTTTTTTGTTATTTGGAGGACATCCTTTTCTAGCTTCCTGGGAAGGGGCTCCTGAGAATACACTTTTGAGACGTCTTTTTTTAGCTTCAGACGGAATTTTCAGCAGCGGAATCTTGGCTGGCTGGGGAGCTCTATTTTAGAATGATTGTTCATCAATAATTTGAAACCCTTGTTTCCATATCTCCCGTTCCGCTGTTGTCACAAGCCATCCAACCAGTTGTGGGCCTCAATGCCGCTCTTTTCACATTTGGTCTGTTCTCTGACTTTGTCACTACGATCTGAGATTTCTAAAACACTTAACTTTCATTTGAAGGATGGTGGGAGATTCTTGTATGAATTCAAACCAAGTTTTACTCAGGAAACTCCAATGTCAGATTATTTCTGAAACACTGTGCTACGTCATTGTGGAGAATTCGGGTTTGAATAAACCACAGTGAAGCATTCTGGGGTCACCAGCTACTAAGCTATTTAGTGTTCAAACCTCACATACTTTGACTTTTCAATGAACCCCGTTTCTTTTTCTCAGCACTTTCAGTACAGAGTAAGCATGCCTTCGAAAATTTTTTAATTTTATTTTTTCATTCTGAGAATGTACCTATCTTTACTAAATCTTTAGCATTTGGGGTTGGATTTATATACTTACCTGTTTAATTGTCAGATTCAATATTTAAAACATATTTAAATACTCAGCTCAGTTTGCAATCATTATCACACTCTCTTTTGTCGTCTCCAAATAAAGCCATGCCGTGAGCAGAAATTGGCCATTCTTCTTTACCACTGTTGTGGGTATCAAGCTGTCTGTCTTCTAGTTTACTAATTTGCCTCTCAGGACATTTCATGTGCCTGGAGTTATACAGTATGCAGCCTGATATTAATCATTTCTTTCACTTTGCCTGATTTCAGCGTTCATCCATGTAGTAGTTACCTATACTTAATTCCTTTTTACTAGCAAATTATGCTAATTTCAAGTGCTCTGAATATAGGTTTCTGTTTTCATCCATGTGTGTCTGACATCTAGAATGCTACCTAGTAGCTGATAGTATTTACATATTTGTTTATTAAATAGATGGCCAATCCTAAGTCAATTTTTAAAATCGATCCTCAGAATCTTATTTAAACATTTTAATTTATTATTATTGTATGTAACATATATATGTGCCAGTGTGCGTGGAGGTCAAGAACAACTTAATAAAACCAGTTCTAGCCTCCCACCTTTCACGTGTGCCCTGGGCATTTAACTCAGGTCATCTGACTGGTATTGCAACTGCTTTTACCCACCGAACCATTCTATCAGCCTCCATAATCTTCCTTTCAAAACTTTTGTCTGGTCACGGCCAGAATTCTTGCTTTAGAAAAGTGTGCTGAAGGTTTGGATAAAAATAAAACATTCTAAGTATAGACTGTTCTTATTCTACCTCACAGTAGGAATAATAAACTATGTACCACTACCTTCTTTCTAGCTTAGATCTTCATTAGGGTTTTATAGTCTGCGACTCAGATACTATATCAAGTCCATAGGCACTGCTAAGAGTGAGACTGGACCAGAGAAGTATTTCCAGCTTGGTTTCTGAAGTCTCTGTGATGAAGGAGATGATGGCCACAGTGAGAACACAATGCAATAACCCTTACTTCCTGTTCTAACTTTGCACAAAGTCTTCTCTTCCCCCTTGAGATCACCAAGTATTTCTCTTTTCAACCCTTTCCATGTTTTTAAACTAAATGGTATTAGACCAAGATTGAGCCACTGGCATTTCTTCCATTGTTAGAGGTCAAATGCTTGTGGGTTTCTTTGATTCTAACTCATACCCAGTCAACATATGGGAGGCAGGGAATCATGCTAAGATACTCAAACTATACTTTCCAAGGCACACTCCCCCCCCCCAACTTTGCACATTTCAAGAGAAACATATATATAGTGGCCTAGGAACCCCTCCAATGATGATGTAAGAATTTAAACAAACAAAAAGGTAGACTTTTAAAAGTAGCTTAATAGCCTTGAATTATCTTTCAACAGCTGGATATCTATGGTAACATCAAAGTGAAAGGATTCCTGAGGGAAGAGAGCAGGGCTTTATGTGTGCTCAGACTGAGTGAACACACACACACACACACACACACACACACACACACACACACACGCACGCACGCACGCACACACACACATACACTCACTCTCTCTCTCACTCAAAATAAATCTCTTTTGTGAATTCAGGGTCTATGGAAAAGCTTTAAATGGCCTCTGTGGGGGAACTCAAACCCAACAATGCAAACATCTGACTTTATCTTCATGCTTTTTCCTCAAAAAGATGAGAAAGACAGGGGAAAGTTTGCCTATTTTTAGCCATGAAACAAGGTCACTAAATATATTATGTCAGTTAATCCAAGCCCCATTTAAAAAACTGGTTCTATATAATACTGGTTCTTTTTACTACAATTCAAAAGTGATGTGGGCTCTGTAACTATTATTTTCTTGGTTGGTTATGAGTGTCTGAGCTTTTGGTTGACATTTCTGAAATAAATATAGCTACAGGAGCACTGGTGTTCTGATTTAGAAATCTGACTACATTAGAAGAAAATTAACCTTTTCAAAAAGCCACTGTTCTAAGGAATGATTTTAATCAAATGAGTTTTAAATGTTGTACCTGCATATAGAATTTCTGGAGAGATTGCAACTCCCTAGTGATCTACGTTCTGAAGGAGGAAAATAACATCAAATAAATCATGTGTGAAGTAACTCTCCAAGTTGTAAAAAGGAAGAGAATGGAGCTGTTTCTGCACGTAGCATCAGGTTCAGAACTCAAATCAACCATTTTAATAAGTATTTTGGAAGACATTTTATAAGTATTATGTGAAGAAAAATATTGTAGGAAGAGATCAGGGGCTTTAGATTCCTTAGACAGATGTGAACACACACACACACACACACACACACACACACACACACACACGCACAGAGTATCTTTTAAAATAAATCTCTTTTGTGAATTCAGGGTCTATTTAAAGCTTCCAGTAAGTTATATGCATGTTATTGGAATTTTCCACGATACTCTTATTTATTCATTTATTTTCCCTTTGACAGCTGCTTCTACTGTGCTAACACAAACACAGAACGAAGCCAGGGAGCTGTGCAGAGGAGCGCCAGACTGTCCTGCACTGCAGACTTCAAATGCCGAGCACCTTGCATACATATTAAACATCCGAATGAAAACACAATGCTCCTGATTTTCAGAGTACCAACTCAAGCGCGCTCCTTACTGTTCAGTTAGCTTAAAGACATTCCAGTCCCCATGCTACCAGTTGGCAGGAAAAGCTCATCTCAGGAATTCTTGGGACTCCTTGTCACTTCAGAATTAGGTCAAGATGTTGAGGCCTGTTATGGATTGAATCGTTGCTCCCTAAAAGATGTGTTGAGATCCTCACGTGCAGTTGCACAAAATGTAACCTTACTTAGATCATTGATTATACACTTAGTTGAGGGGAAGCTATAATGGAAAAGCCTGGGGTCCTAATTCTCTGCGATTATTGTCCTTATTTAAAGAGGGCAGGATACACAGAGAGAGAACATAGCCATATGATGATAGGGGCATCAAATGATGTATCTGCAGATCAAGGACCGTCAAAGACTGCCAGTGTCACTTGCAGATAAAAGTGGCGAGGAAGGCTCCTGAAGCATGGTCCTGTGGACAACATGACCTTAGCCTTTCCGACTCCAAAGCTGAGGGATGAGAGGAACCAGCTGTTCTGAACCAGTCTGTGTGCAGTTCTTTAAAACAGCAACCCCGGGAAACTAACCCAGGGTCTTAGGCCACGCCAGGGATTGAGGTGGGGTGGCAGGCACCTGTGTTCTGGATTTCTGACCACAAAGATAATGGTGAACAGGTCACTATCTTGTTCATAGTACCTCTGGGTCTGGCAGTTCCTGTTTGAATACTATTCTTGGGACTTAGGTGCACTTTTGGAGCAGAAACTTAGCCCACATCTGAACTCTGCATATAACCTCTAGTGGCCACCTGTAAGGCTCTGACAGTCCTGTGTTCTGTGCATAAGAAGTCAATGCCAAAAAAAAAAAAAAAAAAAAAAAAAAAAAAAAAAAAAAAAAAAGAAGCCAATGCCTTACTTCCTTTCCTATATTAGGGTCATCTTTTTCTTCCGTCATTTTCCAGATTGCTGTTTCTTCTGTCAACATTAATTTCCCCTCTTACCTTTTAAGGAAGCAGGCCTTTGGAAAATAACTAGAAAGACAGTTTTCTGTTTTCCACAGCTGAGTCCATAACTCACAAATCACAGAGGA